GATTTTCACATTTAATAATAGACAAAAATGTTCTGTCATTCTTTTATGTACATCAGTAATTACAAGTTCAGTATACCATCATCCTCAAGTTGTACATGTAGTTTCATCAGCTTCTAGTAATGCTTGTTCATCTTTACGCTGCTGTCTTACATACAAAATATGCCACATTTATAAAAGCCTGGAGAGGTTCGCCATGAAGGATTTCTTTCAAAACCATTCAACAAATGTCATTCACAATACTTCCTCATTATTTACAAAAAAACAGCAACTGCTAAATTATACATATTAACAAACTACTTCCTCAGTATATTTAATGCCACTATACAAAGAGAGACGGAGAGGGCAATGCCTGATCTTACAATGACCTTATTCCCATGCTTGAACCTGTGTATTAAAGCATTTTAGATTTTACATGTTAATGCTGCCAGAGTTTGAGAAAAAAATACTTCTTACGTGAATATTAGGAAGATTTCCGGTAATTAATCAACGCTTTTATAAATACGCATTTGCTGTACATTTCTACCAGTTAATACAGAGATTAATAGGATGAAATAAGGCCACTGTAAAGTTTAAATGCTACCCGATAAAGTCTGAGGCTTGGAAAGCGCGGCGAGATGGAGGGAGCTGCTCATCTCTTTCAATCATACAATTTGACGGGTATGTTATGGGTACAGTGGCTCGATGGCTCGATGGCAGACCGTTCAGGGTTCCTTCACATTTCCCTTTTTCAAACTTCCACACTCGGATATCTAGAGCTGCTTGGGGCCACTTCACACCAGGGCAGCTCCAAATGGTGGCGATGGGTAATCATCTGGAAAATCTGAACCTTAGGACCCAGTAAGTTGTGTAATGCAGCATCAGTACAGTGCACACACTTAGGTACATGTTTACCAACAGCACTGGGCTTTGATGGGTCAACAGGAGGAGGTTTGTATTGTGCTCTTAGAGTTTTGATTTGTCACTTCTATGGCGTCTCAGTTAGGAATGCTGGGACTATTGCAGCTTGTGATTCAGGAAAAAATATGCATTTTGACATAAAATTGTGGAATTTGAAACACCAGCTACACCCACACAGGTTATGTCATTTTCTGATGATCTGGACTGAGCTGTGAGCATCCACGACCATTCGAAGCCATACAGGCGTCCTGTTTCTTCCTCAGGTGATCACGTGTGGGAGTTCTTCTACCACAGTAAGAGTCTAACAGCTCACCGTGGCTGTCTCTGCTTCCACTGTTACACCCTGCAATGTTTAAAAATTGATCCGCTGACAAAACGGGACTGCTAACAAAGCTCCACCAACTCAGTGACCCATGCACTGCATTTCAAATGGCTGCTACACAAAGCAAGACATTTCTGGTTTGCCTCAGCATTACCTTTTGGTCCCTTCGGCTCAGTGTTCTGATGAGGGTTGATACAAGTTCCTGCTACTGATTTCACACTATTCCACGGATCTACAGGTAGCAGTAATAATATAATATTGGTAGTAATGTGCCTTCAATGTTCTTCAAACAGCTGGGACAGGGCTGGAAACAATCCGAAAACAGGCAAATAAAGCTGATATCTGAGAATCAAACAGGAACGTTGGAGTGAAACTAAACTCCAAAACCCCAGAGATTTAGTGAGAAGCCAGAAAAACATTAAGAGCTGAACGGGACTTTTATCTGGTCACCAGCACAAAGACAAGCTCAGCCGTCAATTTAGCAAAAGTCAGGATTGGAGGGAAGAACTGGTCACAGGTTGGCTTTGGGTGGATCCATCAAGCTGGACTTTATATTTATCGTTATCAAGGTAAATGAGAGGATTTATCCTGATTTAGATTTTAGGTGTTATTGTCCATGGAAGTCTAATTCATTGTCACCATGACAGGTGTAACAACACTACAAGCAGAGCGAGTGCGATGTCAATAAAGCATTGTTTGTAGACGCCCACACACCTGTAAAAAATACGTGAAAAATAAATGAAAAGGCCTGTGTGGGAGGACCAGGGGTGAAAGGTCGTGAATCACTGTCGAAACTGCAACTGCCGAACAGACCAAGACACACCA